GAACAAAAGGCACGTCGGTTAATTTCAATATTGTAACTTTTTCAGTGCTTGTGAAAAAAATTGTTATACAAATTTTATGTAACCCCTTCAAGGGGATGTATCTCAACAAGGGATGCTCCAATGAAGTTTTTTTTTATATGAAAGATCATCTTTTTTTCGATGTGGAATCACCTCTTTGAATGTTTTACACTTATTCATATATATACAACATGGTGGACATATCTTTCCTAATGAAAGGTTTCAATATTCTCGATTTTTCAAATTGTGTGTAATCGACTTTTGATTATGAGTAGTCCACCATATCGATCAAAGAAATATTGATAAACTTCCGATTTCAAAATTCAAGATATGAAATCTGGTTTTCTATGTTAAATGAAATAGAATAAACAGATGCGTATCAGTCAATTCAGAAAAATCTATTCAAATTGTTGTTTTCAAAATTTGAAATTATTTAAAAGATTGTTTTTATTGATGCGAATGGACTCTTTGGAACCTCACAGAGTTTCAAGTTATATGTGTTATATTCTTCTTATCATGTTGGATTGTCTGTCTTTGAAATATGATGTAAAAGTTCATTCTGATGTGTCTTGAATTTTTTATTCTTTTATTCTTTCAGTTTCGGTTATATAACTCCTCAAGTTATATAAAAAAACTACTGATCGTTTCATCATTTCTTGTATTCCAAAGAAGGTTCTGAATATCTAATTCATTCAAATTCTGTTATGGGAAATAAAACTCTTACTTTCACTGTCTGTGTAGAAATGAATAAATTAATTTTATCTGTGAATGAAACCTAAAGGCAATAGTGCTTAATGTACGATGATTAGTTATATCAATCAGCATGATTACATACATAATTAATCATAATGCGAGTGGAACCGAATATGCCATATTTCTTTCGGAAAATTTTACAGTTCTTCTTATTGAAAATTGTAAAATGACAATTGAATGAGCTGAAGTTTGTGAAAATAGTTATTATTAAATATTTTTTACAGTCAAGTCAGTACAAAAATAAATTAAAATAAATAATTATAAATAAAATATTTTTAACTCGTTTTTGGTGCATATGCTTGATATGCCAAATTCTGTGCTGCTGCTGCTTCTTCTTTGATATACGATCTTCCCCATCCTCCTGTGTGAGGGCTACTATAAACTTCAACATGACCGGAATCATGTCCACCACTACTTCCAGAAAGAAGTTTTTTGATTCCAATGATACCAGCTAAGACTAAGGCCAGTTTGGAAACAATCAGTGCCTTTCCTGCCAAAAGGGCTAATGCTCCGAGTGCCAAGGGGATGAGAGTTCCACCAAGAATGAGAGGAAGGAACATCAAACCAGAAGATCCCTTCTTTTTCTTGCCACGGCCTTCTTCGAGAGATCTTTGCGATTCCGAGTAGTTTGGTAGTTTGATCTGTCAAATACAACGAATATCATAAATAGTTCTGAGAGATGTATTCTTCAAACTCACCTGAAGTGTGTGTGATCCCAAGAAACTGGATACTTTGTTAGCAATGAGACTATCAAGCGCGGTTTCTTTATCTTCCAAAGCTCTAGGTAGGGTGGCTTCCAGCTCAGCTTCAGTCTTGACAGCATCTCCGGGGGTGACAGCCTTGGGATCTTTCACGAACGAGACACCTTCAAAAAGTGGCAATTCTGTATACGTACGGGCAGCTCTGTCCATGGCAGTTAATAACTTCAGTTTCAGGCATGGAATCAAGTCAGAAGAAGCACATTCTTGATACACTTTGTACACATAACGAAAATCACCAAGATACGAGGAACTGTCTGTTCTAGCGGATTCATGGACCGAGTTCTGCGCGGAACCCGCCGTAGTACGGGCTAAGGCCACATGGACCATTAAAGCAAGCACAACACTCTTCGAAATCATGTTTCAGATGACTTTTAAAACTGATATGGATTCACTTACACTAGTTCACTTTTATAGGCGATGTAAGTCCCCCCTGAAGGCATATTTTTCGAAGCAGCACCCCTCTCTTGTTCACCGCATGGACAGTGCGACGTCTCCTACCTTGATTATCCTTAACATTGACCGCAAGAAAAAACGAGAATAAATTTCTACGCGAGCGCGTGTCGTCACAGATCATGGGTAAACAATATTATCATGCCGGTTATATGGAATTGCGTTGATGGAAGTAGACCAGATCCCTTTGCGTTTCACTGCAATTGTTGTGGTTTTGTGGGGTAAGCGGCGTGGATTAAAAAACAGTTTGAATCAAGTATGAAATCCTCGTGTGCGGGCTGCATTGTTAGCTGACAGGGTTGTATTTCTTAAAACAGCTTTCTTCATTATACACTGTTCAAATAAATTATGAATTAGGAAACCAGAGATAAGTTAAACAATATTTTCAAAAAAAAGTTTGAATTGAACCGTTTTATATTATCTATATAAAATAATTTATTATAAAACTATCGGAGTTGTGTTTTGAAAAACATATCGCATTTTTATTTGGATATTTTAATATTATTACTCTGATAATTTCAATGTTTCCCAAATCATCAAATAATTGAAATGCAAATAATTCTTTATTGAAAAATTAGTGAAATTAATTCATATAATCACTAGTAATTTCTGTTAATTTATTGAATATAAGCTGATGTTAGGATATGAGTGAAATCTTCATGAAAATATTCGATTAAATTGATAATACAGTAGAATCCGGACATAACGACCTTCAAGAGACCGGATATACTATGTTGTACTAACCGGACGACGCCCAAAACGGATTAGTTTTGTGGTAGTAAATTGTACATTAGCTCATTAGTCTTTCATTTAGCTGTTCGGATTGCTGATCGATAGGCGAATAAAACATTTTATGAAATTACATATGCTTCATTTTATTAGTTCTTAAATATCCTAATGTACAAACATATGTACAAAGTCTGTTATTTTGAGTTTGTTTTTGACAAACTTCTGTTCGGTAGTAAGAATTTGGTACAGCATTATGAATTCGTGACATCATTGTTTTCATAACATTATCCAAGTTAGTCTGAACAAACACATTGAGCGTTTCCGCAGCCATCGGAGCTTCAGACACACTCAAGGTTGGATAAGTATCCTCTGGTGTGGCATCATCACCGTCATTACCTTTGCTATTCGCGTCGTTGGGGTTTTCACGAAAATGTGACTTCAAAGCTCGAATAATCCGTTGGTCCATGGGTTGCAACACTGATATCGTGTTTGGAGGCAAAAACACCAGCGTTATGCTTATCAAGTCTGTAATAAGAGGATGTGCTCTTGTAGCAGAGATCCATTAAGGGGTATTCTCCGGTCGCGCTGAAGCTTGAACCACTGTAACAATGCCTTATCCAACTGTCTATGAGTAGAAGTCCTTATACGTTTGCATTTGAAAAAATTGGCATTGAACAGCGACTCGATCTTATCTAATTGTGGATATTGTAGAATGGGAAACGCCAAACTCCTTTGCGAGGGCTGCATTTGATTCACCGGCTTCTAATCGGTGTAATATTGCACTTTTTGTCTTCAATTGCAAAACACTTTCGCTTCACAGAATTCATTTTGTCGAACTGTAAGGACTTACAACAAGTGACAAAGACTTCATACTGGAACCTCTGGCGTAAAATCAATTTATTAATATCTGTTAGTTGTACTTATCAATAAAGGTTCCTAAGAATACTACCTGGTAGTAGTACCTATCAATAAAGGTTCCTAAGAATACTAACTGTTAGTAGTACCTATCAATAGAGGTTCCTGAGAAGAGGGAATGCGCCGAGGTATTGGTGCGCAGATTGTGTAAACAAAATATTGCGTGACGTTTCAACCGGATATAGTATCATGAAAAACGGTCGCTATAAGCGGTTGGTCGGTTAAACCGGAGTCGCACTAAACGGTATATTTTCTCAATAACTAAATATGAAACTAAACTTAAGTAAACATTATCGTCGCTGTAAACGGATAGTCGTTATGAGCGGAGTCGTTATATATGAATTCTACTGTTTTTGGAAAAGGAAGTTTTTGTCTTTCTACTACTCCATCTCGATACAAAAAATGGATGAGGGAATCTTCCAAAGAAAGGAAGGAGGTAATCAATTTGAAAATAAGTAACTACTAGGATGTGTAGATCATGCAAAGAAGTAACTTTCAGACACAAACTGAAAGAAAGTCCTCCTGAAACAGCTACTTTCATATGAACATTGAATTACAAGAAAGAAAAAATTTCTTTCGAAACAAATACTTCTATATGAACACTGAATTATACAGAAGTTACTTTTGAATTAATCGTAATTCTTGAATGAATTGTGTGTATTTTCTATAATGTTATCCAATTTGGTACTGAAGAGCCTTAGGGCAAGTGTCTTAAGGCGAAACATCGATGTATACCAGTGAAGATGACATTGTTCCATGTAAGTGCAATTTGTTACCATTCATTTAAAGTAGAACTCATGTGAATGATATCTGATTTTTATTCCACAACGAATGTTTGAAATACAAACTGAGTAGAGAAACGTATTTTCTGTATAATTCAGTGTTCATATAGAAGTATTTGTTTCGAAAAAAATTTTTTCTTTCGTGTAATTCAATGTTTATATGAAAGTAGCTGGTTCAGGAGGACTTTCTTTCAGTTTGTGTCTGGAAATTACTTCTTTGCATGATCTACACATCCATGTATAGAGTTACTTATTTTCAAATTGATTACTTCCTTTCTTTCTTTGGAAGAGTCCCTCATTTTTTTTTGTATCAAGATGGAGTAGTAGAAAGCCAAAAACTTTCTTTCCCAAAAATTAATCACTCATAAAAATATAACCCCTTCAATTTAAATTCTACTGAATTCCTTATGAATACTTTCTGATTCCGAAGGTTCTTTTTGTCAATTACTTTTTTGGATCATCATAATTACTCGTCTTAACGGAAGCTTTCCATGAAAAATTCATTTTATTCTCAAATATTCACATAAGTAGCATCAATTTTTTCAATACGTGGAAATACACATATCTTGAACGACATGAACCCAACATCAGTATATATTACAACTCGAATAACTGAAAGGGTTAGTTTCAATTTCTACAAGCTCAATGGAATTTAAAAAAAAATTTCATATGAATTTGAAAATGTCGTATTCGATGTGTTTTCATTAGTCATCTTCCATAAATTATTTCGAATTATCAATAGGAATCTCTAATGTTTCAATTATTCCACATACAAGGTGAAAATTGTTTCAAATTTGAGGCAACTTGAATCTCAATATCTTTCTGAAGCAAAATAAATGAATATTATTTTATCCAAATGTTTTTTCTCTATGCACTATTTTCGGAAAATTTATCCTTCTGAATAACTGTAGATAAATAGATGAAATTTTTGTTTTGGTGGAATTTTCAATAAAATAAAAGCTCATTACTACTCTTTCAGCCATAAACTCAATACATTTCAATATGTTTTGTTTTCTTTGAAGATTGACGTTTCACCACATATCAAGACATGTTACTGCTCCTGCTTCATAAGGAATAACTTACGATTCAGAAGATCAGTTTTCTTTGAATTGAAAGGGTATATTTTCGAGGAAGATTAATTTTTGGAAAATAAGGGGTTTGGCTTCCTACTTCCCATCTTGAGACAAAAATTGAGGAAATTCCTTTCGAAACAAATTCTTTTATATGAGCGCTGAATTATACGAAAACCATATTTTCTATTTCGATTGTATTCCAAACATTTGTAATTGAATTACGTTAATTTAATGTGATATAGCATATCTGAGTGATGTAAAAAAACGAAAAATAGTACTAGATGATCCCTCCACCAAATAATTCAACCAATATTCCGATGTCTTTATAAAATAAAATCGTCTGTTGAGGTCCCGAAATTGAATCACCTTAAAATTATCAGTACTGCCCTGCTTAGCCTTATAAAAAGCAACACAAGCCGTAGCGATAATCAACTTTTGATTCCCACGTGCCCTAAACCTTCACCTACTTCTGAACCGGACATGAACACCACATACAAGAATGGTGAACTTTCTTCGTATTCAAGTATGTATCAAGAATTATTAGAAAATGCTAGGGATTTCTATTGACACTATACGAGAGATATTGAAAAATAACTCGTTTAGGGCAAATGAAAATTTTATATGAAATGATATATAAGAACAGTTTCATTTAAAGGTTGAGAAAGTTATTGCGAAACACGGGTCGCGGTTTTTGTAAAACTCTTCATACTGCAAATCATACAATAAACTGTATTAATAGGTTATAAATTGGAATGTCTGTCAATATTCTTGGTTCACTTGCCAACTATAATTAGATTCATCTTGATGAATTTTCAAATGAATTTTTGAGCTATTTCTGGGGACCTTCCCAACAAAAGTTAATAAAAGATGAATTGTTATGGGGAAAATTCAATTCCAATAGAGGAACATCTTACCACAAATATGCCATGAAAATATATAGTGCATCACAGTATTTAAATTGCAATTTCACAGAAGAATATATAGTCGACTTAATAATCCAACATTTTGATAATAATTTAGAGGAGATTATGATGCTGTACAATTTTAAAGATATGGATAGTCTATGTCAATTTTTGATGACACAGGAAAGAAGGAGAATCAATTACAATAATTTCCAAAATAAGGTCAATCAAAATAAAAATAGACAGGAATATGCTAATAAAGAAAGTAATAATAATTATAATAATCGGAATCAATACAACCAATCATATAGGAGACAGAATAATAACAGAAATGATAATGTTTGTTTGAAGGTGATTGACAATGTTTCATGATGAATTTCATTAGTTCGGACTTCCATTGTCTAATATATAAAATGATTTGAAATCCCTGAAACAACTAAAAAAGAAGAATTGAAAATTAATAGCTGAAAATAACAATTTTATTGACCAAAATAAACCTGAAATGAAATAATAGTGAAATGAAATACAAGTAAAAATAGAGCAATTGAATAAATAAAAATAAAGAAATGAAACAAGAAA